TGCCTTGAGCAAAGTACTCCTGCTGATCAAACTCGTCAAAGTAATACTGTTGGTCTCCCACAAATTGTCCACCGTCTATACTCGATAATCACAGCAACATACAAGCATCCAGAAGCAATCATGCATAGCAAATAAGAGCTATAGATTAGAACAGTACACCAAACATCATAAAATCAAGATAAAAAGTTTGTAAAATGAATCTACATCTCGCTACGATCACAGAGACACGAAGATTACAAAAATCGGAGCTAAAACGAAGAAGTTATGAATTAAACAAGTTTTCCTTTAGTAAAATAATAGATTAAATCTAACATCGAATTTTAAAATTTGAAAACATGTTCAACAGTAGTATGAACATTTAGATTACTTAATTACGAACCTAACGCAATTTGAACGGACCAAATCGGAGTTAAAACGAAGAAGTTATGGCCAAAACAAATTTAGTGGCAAAACTGTAAATAACTGAAAACGTATTTTCAATCTAACCGAAACAAAGTACGCTTTGAAAAGAAGAAAACAAAATCGGGAAAGACGCTTTGGACCGCGGGTTAAGACTCAGATAATTATAAGGGCTCTTTTGCAAAATTGGTAACGAAGGGGTATCCTTCGATATGAGCCGTCGGATAAGATCTAGATGGCCTTGATTGGATCAGGCGGGTGAGAAAAAAAACATGGCCGGGCGGAACAGTGCCGTCGGCGAGGTGACAGAGGTGGCACCATGGAAGACTCACCGGAGCTTTTGGTTCTTGGCCTACGGTGCATGATTTGACGAACGGGAAACACTGGGAGAGAGTGGAGGCGATGGGGATATCACCGGAGCCGAAAAGAACGGACGGAAGACGACTATGGCTGCGCAGCACTTGGCGAAATAGCGACAGCACTCTAAGCTTGCGGTGGCGCTAGGGTTGGCTGACTCGGCATGAGTAGGGGTGGCGCTTGCTATCGGGTTGGAGGCGGCGCAGGCTCGGGCGGCATTTAAAGGGGCGTGAGGACTTGGGTGGCACGGCACCGAGGCGTGGCGGCACCGGAGTCGGACGTCGGTGCGGTGGTCTCCGGCTCAGTTACGGCGCGAGGAAGATGAAGCGCCGACATGTTGGCCAGCGCTGTTAGCGAGAGGGAGGAGAAAACAACGGTGCGGCGCAGACCTGGGCCGGGGCTGCTGGGCTGTGCGGAGCGGGCGCAGGAGGAAGTGAAGCGGCCGGCTTGCGGAGGGAAAGAAATGGGCCGGCGCGCTGGGACGGCCGCGGGAGAGCTGGGGCAACAGGCCGAATGCGGGGATGGGGAGGAAAAAAACTCATTTCCCTTTTCCAATTTTTCCAAAGCAATTTCAAAATCAATTTTGAATGCAAATTCAATTCAACTTGGAATCTGTTTTCAAACCAAGCAATACAAAAAGATATGCAGCAACATGAATGCACATACATGATTGTGACCTTATATTTGATTTTATTTTAATAAAAATTATTATTTTCCTAAATTTAAATGCTCACAAAAAATGCATAATAAAGCAATTTCCACTATTTAAAATATTGCAAATTTTACGCTGTTACATTACTAAGTTGGTTGCTTATTTAATGCTCATAATGAAACTCTCACTAAGACTGGCCTAACTAATTCCTACATATTTACGGAATTTATGCTATCAATGATACTATGTACCTTGCTCCGCCCACGAAAAATGGCATTTTAATTTGTTCCTAAGTCACATTATCTTAAGTTTTAACCAAGCTTATAAAAAAGAATATCAACATCTAGAACATCAAAACAAGTATACTGTATTTGTTGTTATGATGAATCTAGTAAGTTCTCTCCCAGAAATTTTGTACAAGTGGCAAACGGTTTCTACTATGTACTAAAGAAGAATTAGACAACTTCTTCTAGAGTTTACAAAAAAATTGTGGTTTCATGGTGACGTCGACATACAACTTTTGTGTCAATAATTGGGTGAAGGTTTCACAGAAAGTTTGGCATACGAAGTTACGACCAAATTTTAAAATTTTCTTATAGTGCCTAAAAAAGGCGATCATTCTAACTAAAGGTAACCTAGCAAAGAGGAATTGGAATGGAAATCAGTTCTGTTGTTATAGGAAACTTGAAATAATAAAATATCTCTTATTTGAATATCATTAATCATTATGCCAAGTTTTTATGGCGTGTATCCATGTTTTTCTGTGTGTCCCCCCACCTACCGATGTTGAACATTTTTTGGCACGCGTGGTCAAAATTTTGAGAACATAAAAAAATTCTATGGTTGATAGGGTTTTTTATTATTTGCTAGGCTATTTGGCTTACCACAAATGGCATTCACTACTACAGATAGGCTTTGTAGGGGCGTCTCATGGGTATATGTAGGGGCGGTTTGGCCAGCCGCCCCTACCAAAGCGTGGCTACAAATTGTCAATTTGTAGGAGCGGTTCGCAGACCGCCTCTACAAATCGATTTGTATGGACGACTGTAGTACCGGCCGCCTCTATAATACATGTTTATAGGGGCGGTTCAGTCCAGAACCTCCCCTACAGTACAATTTTTCGTAAAAAAATTTCAAATTTACAATTCAAATTCGACCAGAAAACACACACATATATATGTATAATTTAAATCTAACCACAAGCACAAGAGTATTATATAAACTACAATTACAAGTCTAATTCACAAGAATATATACAATCCCTAGTCCAATTTCATCAAACATAAATTTACAAAAACAAAATTAATAAAAAAACCAAACCCTAGATCTAGATCTACATGCACATGAAACATCCATAAAACTAACTAATTGTTTAGTAAAATCAAAAAACATGGACCAAATAAGGGTATAATCTTGTTCCCCTACCTAATTTACCCTACTACATTCAAAACTTGGGTCTAATTTGCTTCATAAGTAGCTCAAGCACCATAGAAGAGAGAGAAAAACAAAACTCTAATTACTCACTAACCAACCATTAAAACTTCAAAAAAAAGCGTGGAATAGCATTTTCTTAGCTTCTATAGCCTCTCCACCAAAGGATTTGAGACCAAAACCTTCCCCCTAGTAGAGCAATTTTTGGGAGCTGCCTAAGGCCTCCCTACCTTTTTTCTTGGGTTGAAGTGAGTGACCCGAGGAGGAAGAAGGAGTTGTAGTTTTTTATACGTGGGTCATTTGTAGGGGCGGCTGATGATTGAGTCTCCCCTACAAATCGCAGATATTTATACGTGGGACATTTGTAGGAGCGGCTGGTGATTGAGCCGCCCCTACAAATAGCAACACCGGGAGCGGCTGGTGACAGAGCTGTCCCTACAAATCGACCCATTTATAGGGGCGGGTCGTATCACCAGTCACCCCTACTGTTCCATTTGTAGGGGCGGCTGGTCTCGTGGGTCCTGAGCACGGCCATTGTAGGGGTGGCTCCATCACCACCCGCCCCTAAAAAAATGTCCCGTTGCTACGAACGTTTTTTTGTAGTAATGATTGTGTTTAACAATTGCTAACCAAAAACATTTTTACAGGTGCTATTGGGGGTTGGGGGGGGGGGACATACTGGCTCTGGATCTAGATTTGTTACAACACACCAAGGAACACTCACAGATTTCTAAAGTACACTCTTGCCAGCTATTAGAGTCAAGATCGATAGAGTTCTTTGCCTCCAATGGGTGGCTGTTTATTTTTCGCATTAATTGTTAGTGTTAAACTCATTGCAAGGAGTTGGATAGACTTTACAATAATGATGGACTGATGGTTCTTCTTTTTGAAGACGACTGAAGCAAGATTGTTTCTTTTATGTAAAAAATATTTGGATAGCTACCTGCCATGACTATATGAGTACGTAAATAGTTTGTTGTGGGTTATGTTGTTGGAGATTTGATAAAGTTGTTGTAAAAGATGAAAACTGTTTCATAAAAACCATGCGTCAGCAACTTCAGGAGAAATAATAGAAGTCACTACAACTGTCAGCCGCTTATAGACAAACTGGTAGGAAATGTCACATTTCTTATAGTGTCATGAGTGATTAAATGTGATCACAAGGCGATTAGTTCCCCATATGGTTTGTGGATGACAGCGAGGCTATTTGGGTTTATATTATGACAATCAGCAGTAAATCACATTGCTATTGCCTGCATCAGGGCCGTACAAAAGTGGATTACTCCGTATAAAACCCTAGCTAGCCAGTGAGCTCTCTTTTGTTGTCATAGAGAAGGGATCGGTCTAGTGAGGAAGGCCTAATGTTAATGGACTAAGGTGCAGGATAGGAGGGGAGTCGTTTTCACTCTCCTCAAGAACAATGGAAGATCCAATCGGATTTGCTCTATGCGAGGTGGCTACTAGCTCGCTTTCTTCGCCTGTAAAAGATCGCTCGAGCTGAATAGAGGATAATAACACTGGAGTAGCCTGCTTTTAGATCTGCAAGGATGGGGACAGATGTCGTCGATCAGGGCAGTGTGCTACCACAATACAGGCACTGGTTTGCATTCCAGTTGCAGCTATCACTGCTGCACGTACAGAATCATATATATGTACTTGTTGTCTTGCATATATAGGCTTCTGCTCCTTGCTATTGCTAGGCCTCGTTTAGATTCCAAATTTTTTTACTCTCTCTCTATCACATCAAATCTTTAGACACATGTATAGAGTATTAAATATAGATAAAAAAAATAATTAATTACACAGTTTGATTTTAAATTACGAGACGAATCTTTTGAGCCTAGTTAGGCCATAATTGAACAATAATTATCAAATACAAACGAAAGTACTACAATGTCAAATACTAATTCCTAACCGCGAACTAAACGAGGCCCTAGTACCAAAAGAGAACGGGATGCCCTTCAAGCCCATCACTCATGTCAAGTAGTAGTACTACCCATCCATCTCACCGCTAGCACGTCGCAATGCTTCTCACCCTTTATATTCGTCCTAGCTCCTTCCATTTCTGTACATCTTGCAACACAGCCGCCGAATTTTAGTGATACAACTTGTGACAGCCCCACCCCCACGGCAGCTGCTTGTGAAAATTCCTTCCGGTTGCATGGCGCAAGCGCCCTGGTCGCTGCCTTCACAAGTGGCTGTGGCGGTGGACCTGTCGATAGGCCTGGCGCCGGCGGGACACCGCCTCGAGGAGGAGCAGGACCAGGTGACGGCGTGCGTCGGCGGAAAGGAGGCGCGGCTGTTCCCGTGCCTCTTCTGCAACAAGAAGTTCCTCAAGTCGCAGGCGCTAGGCGGGCACCAGAACGCGCACAAGAAGGAGCGCGCCGCCGCCGACTGGATCTGGAACCCCGACGTCTACGGCGACCACTACGCTGCAGCGGCGGCCATGGGCGGCAGCCTCGGTGAAGCTTCCGTGTCCTTGCTGCTCGCCTCTCATGGCGGCGGCACCGCCGCTGAGCCCCTGCCAGCGTCAAGCCCAAGCTCGAGAGGGAGAGGCCTGACGGTGGCGAGGCGCTCTTCACGGACCACGCCTTGCTCCCGGCGGCAGCCGACCGCCCCTTCACAAGGTCGCCCGACGGCACCGTGGACATGCTCAACTGGAGAAGGAGTTCCCGAGCCTCTGCCCCACCGGAGTGCGCGGACACCAACGCCGCATCCTCCGGCGCTGGCGAGGAGCTGGACCTCGAGCTGCGGCTCTAGCTGGAACCGCACCGATCGACCTAATTCTGCTCGGGGAGAAAAGCTTAAGACGCATCTCCCAGCTGGATCATCATCAGTCATCACTGTCCGTCTTGCCTTCACATATCTATATATATGATATGAGTGCATATATCTGCGTCTTGTTCTTGCTCCAATAACCAAGCTTGATATGGATCGTTGTTTTGTGCTTGTTATGAGTACTAATTAATATGCTTGTGCGAATGCAAGCGTGTGGATCTTTTGAAGCACTGTGAGTTGCTAATTACGTAGTGTTCCTTGTTGAATGGAGCACACCGCCGCCCGCGCCGGAGCAGTGCTGCCGTCAAGCTGGAGAAGCCGGCCGATCGCACGTACGTGATGTTGCCAGGGGGCAGCCGACCACTCTGCCTTGCGCTCTAGCATCCCTGCCCCACACCGGCCAGCGGATCGAGAGGGCCAACAGCAACACCTTGCGGCACCTTGCCCTACAGCTCCGGCAAGGAGCTTGGCCTCCAGCTGTGTGAGCTTGTGACACTAACTAGAATGAGACGGCTGTGCATTATTCAGAATTCTAATCGTCCCGTTTGAGTGGAGGTCATATAATATTAGTACGTTTGTACTTCCTGTTGCCGTTTATGAAAAGGCGAAAAGCTGCGTCTGTCTGAAAGAAGAAGACTATTTAATTATTCACGCTTCCACGTCTTGGGTGCCTGAAATCAAAATCGACTTCAGATGACTCCGTTCGCAAAGTTGGAGAAGAAATCGGCGGCAGGAGGGGGGAGGGGAAGAGGGATGCTGCCGCGGGCGCGGTAGGGCTTGGCCAGAGCTCTGCGGCCGAGGCTGTGGTGGGGAGGTGGGTGGAGGCACGGGCGACTTCAGCATTGGCGTGGGCGAGAGCTGCGGGAGGAAGATGAACAGGGGGAGTTGAACAAGGGCGTCAGCTGGGGCATTGGATGAAAATTCAACTTCGGAGATGCGTCGCCCGATCAAAATTGAGTTTTCAGGCGCCTCAAAATTAGTAGTTTTGCCATCAACATGGGAATAGTTGGCGCGCGGAAATGGAAATTTGAGAAGCCTTTGGGCCTTGGCCCTTGGGTCTCACAAGTGTCCAGAGGCAAACAGTAACATTGTACGGTCCGAGATTGGCAGGTACACAAAAAACAAGTGAACAAGTGGTAAATTAAGTAGTGGCTGGCCCACATGTGACTCTGGTCCGCGTCTGATGAAAACATGTATGTAGTATGTGCATACAAGCTTCCGTACGATTGAATACGACAAAAAAGATTTATGGTGCTCGCAAGTTAGCTAAGCTTGCTCTAGATATTCCAAGCATTATTGTGGTGGTTGAAGCACTAGCGTGGCTCCAATTTCAAGCATAATATATAAAAGCCCACGTGGAAGAATGTTAGGAAACATTGGACGCGATTAGGTGGGCGCATCTCTGTTAATATATATAAACACAAAGGATATATAGTTGTTGTTGTTGTTGCTGCATTATTAAACTTAAGTCCCGCTGTTCATGAGAAGCCAGACTAGTCCTAACCATAAGAGATTGCTTTGTATGCGTGAGAGATATGGGATGCAGAAGCAAATCCTTGGTTTGACGATGAAACATCAGGGACATATGTTGTTGCCCTCGGGTCGCGTGCGTCCATAGTCGGGCCAAGTGGCACCATAGGATTGGTGGAGGACGGTTCAAATTAATGTGGCAAACATAGAAATTAACAATAGTTAATTTTAATTAATTAACAATAGTTAACTTTAATTAATTAACAACAATCACCATAACAAAAGTGCAAATAATCATGTTTCAAGTATAATTAACACCGATCAGTTGTACTTCAATCATCATTGTCAAAAATAGTAAATCCGTAGATAGCTAACTACATTTGCAGGTACGATTAGTCCCTAAAGGCCCTCATAATGCAGAAACTACCATAGGTTAGGCATTCTCCTTATATTAAGGTCCAAGCTTAATCATCCAAGAGCAAAAACATACCGTATTTCCCATGATCTATTCCTATTTTCCCCCTTTTCATCTTCGATTTCTTGCAAGTACGAGGACATTGTCAAGGCCATGGTGTACGGAGAGGAAGGGGCTGTTTGGTTCCCAGCCATAAATTGCATAATAACTAAGCTTAGGCAAGTGTGGCAAGCCATAAAAAATGTGGCAAAGAATTTTGTTGCCACACTTTGCCATGCCAAAGAAAACCTTGCCATACTTTTTTACTTTGAGAGCCCAAATTATCAACTCGGTCAAACTTGTCTAAGGTGAAGTGTAGCAAAGTGTGGCTAGCAACCCCCGAAATCCCGATGACCTGGATGGAGGCAGTGGGGAAAAAATGAGCTGTTGTGTTTGTAATTGCATGGTGGGCCGGGTAAACAACTAAACATGCGTGCTTGAATCTAGTAGAAACTGATGTACAGTAGATTACTGGACTGCTACAAGCTGACATGCTAAATCGGAGAATCTAAGGCAAATAAGTGCTAGGTGCTTGTTTTAGCTATAGATTACTGAGTAAAAACTCAAGTCCATAATTTTTTTTTGGTCGAAACAAGTCTTGGCCATGCAACCACAGCTAGAGGGGAGACGAGAGAGCAACTGCTGATAATTGGTGCCGTGCGCCAGCGTTGTCGAGATTGCCACAAGACGACAGGGAGGAGCAGGCCGTGAGCAAGGCGATGGAACATGAGAAGCGCGCGCATGTGAAGCTACGGCACGACCGTACCAATTAGCTGAGGGGCCACGTGGTATCAGGCCCACCATATATTTCCAACATGTTGCGTCTCTCCATCCGAAAAAGATACGGTTCTAATATTGTTTTTAGCGTTCAGTTGAAGCATCATCCTTGGATTGGCCATATTTACATAGAAAAATATCAATACTCACTACCACACAATCGACAAACACCGCGGATTGTGAACCTACTGTCACAGGTGGTTTTGCCACTCGATAGTGGGCAAGCGGCAGTGATAGAGTGCCGTATCATTATCAGGTGAGCAAATCATGGCTCAACCGCCCAAACCCCAGCTCGCGCTCTCAACCGGGAGGACCGACGGGAGAGAGAGGGAGAAGAATGGGGAGAGATTGAGTAGGCGTGGAGTGTTGGAGAGGAATAGGAAAGAGATTGAATCAGTCGGGTTTAAGTGTATTCGAATAAAATTTCGGGTCTAATGGTGTCACTATATACTACCAAGTGCGTGTTAAAAACTAGAAGTGATAGCTGGTTTGTAGCAAGCACCGGTATGATAATGAATCATTACTACATCTGGTTCAAAAGATGCATTTTTCTTTCCAAATCAGCAATGATTACTTATCATGAGTTAAGGTTGGGTTTACTTCACCTAAATTCCCATATTTTCTAGGATAAATTTTGATGGACACCTTATATTTCGTGATGTAGTATCGGATTTATCCATCGGCATGATCCGAACTCTGAACGGCGCGTATGAGTAGTCAAATGGAATGCATTAGATAAGTGCTACACATCTATGGTCTCTGATCGTCTATTCGAGCAATAGATAAAAATATTATTTTTACCACTCGTTAGAGCTCCAATTAATTATTTTCCACTTTGCGCTTTATAACACACAAAATGTATTCTGGGTGTTACACAAAGTAACTGGCATGTTTATCATAATCGAATAAAGATTATATAGAATATCTAAATTGGTATTGTTCCAGGAAATACATATCTAGATAGAGAAAGTAAAAAGAATCGAATTTCATTAGTTGTACGTATCCACAAAAGTTTTAATACTCCAATACCATAATGTTCTAGCCAGTGCTGGAGCATGGATTGATGGGCTAGTAGATGCTAATAAATGTTAAAGTCCATACCATCACGGACAGATAAATTGAGTGGAGAGCAAGAGGGTTTTTCATCTTCATCCTCTCTCTTTTCTTTTCCCTTTTTTGTGTGTGTTGGTGCAGGATCTCAAGTCCTCGATCGTCGGATCGTGCACCATGTTGAATCCTCCCAAGAGTACGTATTAGTAAGAAACTAGGAACGCTGTGATGACTTCATTTATATAGAGTGGTTTGTCCATTTATGACACTGGAGATGTTCACGCTTTTAAATTTACTGCAATATGCATGGCACCCGCCTGTATGCGCACAGAGCACCCACCTCACGATGGAGGCCATGGAAAAGCTCTGGCAACAACGACAAGAGGAGCAGGGTGAAAGATGCGAGTGGACCGCACTGGCTAATAGAATCGTACGATGACAGCTAAAGCGGCCCATCGAGCTGCATCTGTCATGGTTCGCAATCATGGATGATCGGAGCCATTGATCAATGACAACTAGCATTCAATTAGGTGACCATTGATGCTGATCGATTTGGCCCTATACCATAGCCTGTCTTTTTTTTTTTCGCGTGGACTCACTACTACGGTCAGCATTTGTATAGACGGCTGAGGATGGTTTGTAGAGCCGATTTTGCCAGCCGCCTCTACCACACCGCCTCAATAAATCAAGGGTTTGTAGAGACAGTTCCCAAGCCGGTCCTATAAATAGATTTGTAGAGGCTACAAAAATGATTTGTAGGGGAGACTGTAACACCAGTCACCCCTATAATTTCCATTTATAACCGCCCCTACAGTATATTTTCTCGCAAAAAAATCAAATTTCAAAATTCAAATCTTAGAAGAACATATATATATATATATATATATATATATATATATATATATATATATATATATATATATACATGTATGCATATATAATTCAAACATTGTATACACAAGCACAAGAATATTATATAAACTAACATTACAAGTCCAATTCAAAAGAACATATATAATTTATCGTTACATAGACATAATTCACAAGTCATCCAATCGGTTCCACAAGTTCAAACTGTTTCACAAGGTAAGACCAATATCATATTTCATACACATTGTTATCAACGGCCTAGAGCTAGACTTTCCATCTCATGAAGATGTTGGTACTGAGGATAACTTCCCAACTCGAATTTTCGGTCATGATAAGTGCCTCTTACGTGTATAATCTGGTCCAATATGAAGGAGCAAAGATCGCCGACGAGCTCCAAAAGGTTGTCATCTTTGTGTGTGTCGGATTGTTTTGCTCCGGTATTATCTAGCAACATGATTGCGTAGATGGAATCAGATGGT